GAATCAAACACGTTGAAGAGCACTGTATACCGTCTCTGCGCAACGCATGTGCTACGTTTGTCCGGCCACTTTACGTTTTAGTTCCAGCTGAAAGCATATCTAGAGAATTTTCTTCCAGCTCTTTAACTTGATGATTCAACTTTCTCCCGCAGAAATTAACTAATTGCATTTATCCTGGGGACCCTCGTGTGGGGGCAGAATTGGAAACTTTTGACCATATGTTTTTTTCAAAGATAAGTAAAATCGGTTCAACGTAAAGGCTGTTTGTAATCGATGGAGCTTTGGGGAAAAATGTGGAAAGTGTATCTTTAACATCGTAATGCTCTTATTTTTCTTTCTTAGGAAACACACCGTCTAGAAACGCAGCTAGATAAAGCACAGATCAATTGTTCTCTAATTTACATACTCTACAATTTGTACAAATTAGAGGAAAGACACTCACTTTGTCAGGTTGGTCAAATCAAGAAACAGTTTAAAATGAAAGTTTTTCAGTCCACAGTTAAAATTACGATTCAGATTTTCACTAGTAAAACAGGTGGCGAAATTATGCAACTTCCAGTTGAAATGTCTGGAAGATGCTTTTGAAGAACGAAAACTGTATAGAGAACTTTTTTGTTGGAACTGAAACTCACCTCCGTATTGAATAATGTATTTGGTAGAAACTGCTACTACTGTCAGAGACACTCAATGAAAAGATGTTGTGTCTTCGTATCTGCTAAGGTGTACGGACCAGACTTCATACCGAGTGTGAAACACGGCTAACACTAAAGCTCTTTATTTTAACGCCGATTAACCCCCCAAATAGAATGTCCAGCGATTGCAGTTTACAATGTCAATGTCGATATCAAGCGCCCTGTCACTAGACAATTTGACAAGCATTGTGTCGGGGAATCAAACTGAAAAGCTATAAACGCCAGCTGCCAATGGGATTCTCTCAATGGTCTCTAGTCACTCGAAACATTTTGCCGAATGTGACTGCGACCCAATATTGCTGCACGCTTTTCTCACGTTTCCCTGCAAGCGCATTATTTGAAAGAATTTGGCTTTAGTCTAAGTTGATGAAAAATGTCATGAATTCGTTCATGGCTCTCAACCTTCCGCATCCAAAATCACTTCAAGTAAACTGAAAATCATGCAGAGAGGGATTCTCTGAGTGCTTTTTTTTAAATGCGAACTCGTTTTACTCGAGATTTTCTAATCATTATTTTCTTTACTTTTGTGAGACGACGCGGTCGAAAACTTTTACTTTCAGCAAGAACATGTTTCGCTAAGGTGTGGCTCAGGCCAAGTTCGAAGAAAGCTAATCCCACTAAAAATTGCGTTAAGAGGTATTGTATAAAAATGTAACAAATATGAAAGAAAATAGGTAGCAATCTCAAGGACCTTTCAGACGAAAATAGATTTGAGGACAGGAACTCGAATTTTGTAAACAACTGCGGTTTAATGTGGGGTAGCAAGAATTTTCACTTAACCGGCAACTGAGATAGGATGAGCGATATAAATTTACCGATCCGTGATACTTTTAAAAAATTCTATATGTGGGCCAAGCACTTGATGAATGTATCTCAAGTCCGGCGTAACTTTTATCTTAAACTGAAAAAAAAGTCATGTGCACAGCTTAAAGAAAGAGAATCTTGATTTAATGATAAGAAGATCGATTCAGAAAAACAACGCGAGCCAAGCTTGATTAAGAACCTAACTCAAGTTAAACTCGCATCAAGTTAGTTCGTGTTACGAGAAGACCGCTTAACAAGTATCTCTGAACGCCTCAAGTTTGGATGCCTCATTTTTTTATTGGCCCAACAGAAATGAAAACATGGAAAGCTGACGGACGATATAAAATACATTAAACAACATTGCAGCCCAAGGGATTGTTATATATGTTTTGGTACCTATAGTGGGGGCAAGTGTAAAAGAGCCAATATTTTGAATATTGAACGGAAACGTGAAAACATCTCAATTAAGGGCATAAAATAAACCTCGAGTGATATTGGTTGCATTCAGGTAATAATGCTCCGCATAAACGTGAGGGATGTCAAAGCGTTCAAATAACCCACGTGAGAAGCTAGCGGCGATAAAATTTGAACTTGCAACATCTTTTTTACATATTGTAACAATTAAGAATTGCGCCTGTTTCTAATAAGGCAGAAAATTGGCACCATTAATTTCTGGCACGTCAAACATATGTTTAAGGAAGATGTTTGGGTGGCTGGTGGATTAGGAAAAGCCTTCTTTTGTAGTATTGGATGCATTCAAGGAATCATTCTTCTCAGAAACGTGACAGCTAAATCAGCATCACGCACGTGAGACGTCGATGGTGATCGTATGTGAACCTGTTTCTATATTATGTGACAATTTGGGAGTATACCTGTTTTGCCAGAGTGAAAGTTTCCTTCGGTATTTTGTTTCATGGTGAAATTATAGGAAGAGATTTTCTCGCTAAAGGATTGGGTAGCTTTTTTTTCTTAGTAATATTGGATGCATTCTCGTCGTAATACTCCGGAAAAACGTGAGGTGATTGTAATTACATGAGTTTCAACATGGAGTCTGGAAACAAAGCCGAATCGTTCGTTTTACCAGGAGCCATAAAAGGCGAAATTCGCACGCGAATATCGCTTGCTACGACCGATTTCGCCGCCATCGACATGTTGCCAGCTTACGGTAGAATGAACCGAGACAAGGTCACACGCACTTTCCCGCGCTTGAAGAACTTTGCTTGTTTCTACTCAGGTTTTGATTGGCTCTCAGTTCTACTTCAATTTGTTCTGATTGGTCGTTGTAAGTAATTCGGTTGTGGTTTAATGAGACACAATTGTACGGCCTCAATTGAAAATGTCAATTTTAACTTCTTGTCATAAATGAAATTACTGCACTCTTCACAGGAATCACTGCACTCCGTAGAAAAAAAGATGTAGAAAAAAAGATGATTTGCCCATGAAGCAGAGCCTGGATATAGCAATTAAAAACAAAACAAAATAAAAGAAAAAAGGAATTTCCTGGTTTCCTTCTATCCTTCAAAACTTAGCAGCAACTATTTCTACACATTCCTAGATGAAGTCTGCTTTTGCAAGGAACACGCTTTGCTATCCTAGAAAACTGCTTTTGCCTCGCGTGTTTGGCCAATTTTTAATTGAATGACACTCGGGATTGCATTGGTTTCGCTTCAATGCACTCAGCGATGAAAAACCCCACGACTCCGTCTCAACCAATCAGATGACGGAAGCGAAAACCATCGATATAACACCTGATAACTAGACCAGCCAGTGTTTCCTGCAATTTAGGCAGCTTGCTCTTTGCTTGCTCCACTCTCATTGGCTCCGTATTGTCTACTATCGTTCGTTGTGTAAACTTTTCATTTGTTTACGTGGGCGGGAAAGAATCAAAATTTGCGCCATTTGACTGTTTATTATCCGAGTTGATAGAGGTAGAAAGGCGTCTTCAAAATATGGGAAAAATGTTCCGCTACGCTTCGTTACGACAGCTGACTAAAGATATTACAATGACAAGGCCTGAGGACGAGTGAGTCATGATGACATCATCCGTAATCGTAATTGACGTTATCGGTTTGCAAGTAGTTCAGTAGTGCCCAATAGCGAACATTCATGAGAGAAGAAGTGTATTCAATAATTTCAAAATGAAGTCATCATTCGTAAAAACTTTGAGTGATTTAAGTGATATCCGCTGCAGTTGACTGGAAATACACAAAGAAAAATTGAGTATCAGCCGACCGCAAATGAAATGCAGAAACTTCGGGCTCAGAGAACAATGCATAGTCTATAGACCTTTTACGCACAACGCAAAACAACAATCACGGTGAATTTTTCAGTAATTTTTGTTCGAGTATCACGCCGGCGAAAAACCTAGCAAATTTTCGATAGACTTGGGGTAAACTGACCTCAAGTTCATTTATCTCAACTGAACGAGCCTTCTGAGCTGACCTTAAAATGAGACGGATAGCTTATCAGCTGGATTCCTCAGAGTCTAGCTATTCGTGATCGGATTTTTGTCTGGCACTTGCTTAAAGAGTTTATTATTTTTTATTTAAATTACTATAGTCATCGCCGCAGTAGAAACGCTGTATCATTGCAGTTATTCTTGGAGTCGGTTGTCATTCAGGAAGAGTTCAGTTTTTAGCGCCCACCCAGCTGAAAAAGACAATGAGGCCTGGCTGAGTCAGGCTTAAAAGAATCACCAAAAATAACCTATTTTTACGATTCTTACACTCTTTCTAAAGAGTAAATCTATCTTAGTTTTGAACCACCGGAAAACTGAAGTCGACCATAACTCGTAGGTTTTTTTTTTAATGGGGCCTGAACGAACAATAAAGACCTATGAAATGAGCATTTCAGTTGAATTCGACTCGGCGAACAAGATACCTCACTTTTCGTAGGTGAAATACTTCGCCCCTAATGATATCTTTAAGCTTACTAAATTTCTTTCTCCGAGTAAAGCTATTGTAAAGAAAGAGAGATTTGCACTTTTCGTGGAATTTGGATTGTTCGAACGAGAGGTTGCCTAACTTAAAACTTTGTCAATCGAGCAAAATTACTAGTAAGATTCTTCACGGACGATTGTTAGTATTAAAGTTGTTGTAAATTGTGTTACTCTCACCAACTGTGTACCAAATACCTATTCCACTTCTTAACCTGTCGAGATCGCAAGAGACATGGTTTCCGCTCAATACGAAAGTCTTGAGAACTGCGACAAAATCTCTCGGATTTAGGATTAGCATTAAAAAAACACAAGCAATTCAGGGATTTGTTTATCAGACGAGATGAACCCATTGTTTGCTTTCATCATCGTGTCCAAAGGAAGAGAACGAGGGATAAACTCCTAATCAGGAATAACCAAAGCAAACATCACGAGATCGTATCAGTTTCGCAGGCTGTAGTTACTGAGAAAAGACCTTTGTTGAAAGAATGCAAGTAATGTTATGAGCGTTTTTTTTTCTCTTTAAATTTGCGAACACTGTGGCAAGTTACTTATTTAGGTGGCCATACCTTCGAATGACGATGCTGAAAACTGCGTCGGTCTCGAAAAACGGCTTGGGAAGAGAACAACTCTCTAATGGACCCTATTAGTGAAGACTCATTACTGAGAATTATCGCATCATCTGTCAGATAAGTGTTTATCAGCAATTTCAGACTTGAGAGTTTGAGCTAAAAGGCGAACATATGTTCAAGGTGTTTGGTTACACATTCGAACGGAGTCTTCTCAGTCCAAGTTCTTGAGTAGCCCAGTGTCTTCTCTGAAGTCCACTGAAGCAAGTCGACCCTGAGCTAATGACCCAAGATTATTCCTCAATGACTCTCCTGGATGACGTTCTTTTCAACTTTTGTCGGTTGAGTTTTTCATGGCATCAGTGATCACTCTCTTGCCTTGGAGCCTTCAACACTTCTGCACCACTGTCACGAATGTTAAATAGTTCACGGAACAATCGAAGCCTTCAGAAAGATATTCCATACGAACAAAAGGTTGAATTACGGAAATTCCACCGTGAAGACTGATAAAACAGGAAAAAATACATCCACTCCCGCATTGTAGTTCTTTTATGCTGACCAATCCACAGACAGGCAGTACTTCAACAAGATACTTGCAGGAGGAAAAACCACCCTTTGATATCAAGGAGAGATAAATTTCAAATCTATCAGGCTAGATCACCCAAGCATTCAACTGACCTTCGAGTATAGTCTGGGCCATAACGATGTAAAAATTTGCCAAAAGTGTACTTTCAGTATGGATCCTATCCTTAGAATTGCTCTCCTTCACCGCAGGCCAAATTATGACCCCGAGGTACATCTGTATTGTAATGATACCAACCTTTATTGGCCAGCAGTTTGTTTCAATTACCAAAACTTTCCGGGATTAGCAACAATTAACAGATTAGACTGGACGAACTGTCATCAGTGAACAACAAACTGACGTTCGTAATTGGAACCAAAGTTTGTGCAGTAAATGATTCTGCTTGTGATGAATTTCCTGCCATTGCTTCGATTCGACGGGAGGAAAGAAGTTTGGCATCAAATCGACGTCACATAATTTGTTGAACAATTCGAAATTATAACCCAAAATGGGCAGATCGACCCCTCGCGTTCTTACCATCAATTTTAATGGTTAAATATTAATGGGAGGTCTTGTTTTGAAGCCCTTTTAATGGCAAAAGAGATTATCTGTGACAGAATGCGTGCTGCAGATGGATGCTATGAACAATAAGACAAAGGGAATTTGTGGTAAGGCCGTATCTAAGTAAACGACCAAATTTGTTAATTACTTGCACCGGAAAAACGTCGCTCAGTCTGAGACGTAATCATTTTGAACACGTCCGCTCGACGCCAAGTGTGATGCATTGTTCGTAAGGTACAACCATGTACAACCAGCTTTTATGCACGAATATTGAAATTCTCGAGATTATATTGGATATCAAAGCGTTTTGTTTTTGTTTCAGGTAAGAGTTGGCATTCCACTCCCGTAAGAATAAATTGACTCGCTAACAAATAACTCACAAACAGGACACAATGGTTCTAAATCATGCTGAAATGACAATATTGTTTGATACTTAGATACTTCAAAACGTCATTCCTTCAGCGTCATTTTTAGTGACAGTCCCTTAAGGGACAATAGCACATTCCTAGCAAGTATTTGGCAGCAAGAAATGTTCGAAACAATCTTAATAGTAGTCACGTTGGTTGCTTAAAAAAAGTTATTCTGTTCAACTTCCTTGCATGCTAAAATTCCTCATCATTTGCGATGAAAGTTTGAGGACAAGCTTATGGCTTCTCTTCTTTGTCGCTGTGGTTTCCTTGCTTCTCTATTGTGGTTCGATTAACGCGGTTTACCACGTCTTCGTATTGTTCTCGCTTAATCTCTGTAGTTCCCATTCCAAAACTGTCACTGAACTGAAAGTTCCACTTTCTTCTCCAAAACTTCGAAACCAATCCACCCTGTCAAAAACTCTTGGCGTTTATCTACTCCAGAAGAAACTCCTGAGACACTAGTGCTAAAAGAAATGCAGCCTCGGACTACTCAAGCTGTTATGATACAGTTATGAATCTTCCCCGGCACTCTCACTAGACAATAAGATATCTTGTTGAATACCATTTTTGACGTCCTTTGACAGCGTCTATCCACGTGATAATGTGCACTTTGAAGATCCTCACAGTTCTGCGAGTAGACTGAATCTTGCAAGCTTTTGTAGATTTGAAATTTACTTTTGTTAAAGGAACCTGAAATGTGACTTGATTCTTAGCGAAATGGGAACATAGAGTGAAGATCGGTGTCTTTCGATTCTGTTAAGGCATTCGCCATTAAGTTCGCATGAACTCTGAAACTCCTCATGAAACAATTTTTGGCTGGATTTGTGGTTGTTGTCGACGCTTTCTAAGCTCACAACTGATGCACAAGACCCCAATGCTTTTTAGTGTTATACAAGCGTCAGGCTTTGAAATTGCTTCGACAAGGGTGACAGTCGCGGTCTCTGAATCTTTCTTAACGGTTATGACTCGAATGGCCGAGGTGCCTTGGAAAAACATAACACTGACTAAGCGTTGAAGCTTGAAGTTATCATAGCCTAGCGACAGGAGCTCGATGATAAAAAAAATTATGCTCTTTTAAGCTTAGTTAGTCTAACCCGGCGCTAACTACCATGGCGTCAGGTGTGAGAAAGCAACAAGTTGTTGCTATTTCAGATCTGACGCCATAATAATTTAGGAACAAGACTTTCTCTTTTTTTTGTGCTAAAACTTAATGGACTTTGGACTAGTCTCGGAGTGTCATGTTACTTCAAGCCTTTAAGACCTGTTATGAAAATTCGTGCAGAATTTTTCAGTATGAGCTGGTGTCTGCACGAATATCTTGATGCAGGAAATTTATAAAGAGCTAGTCAGAAATATTTCGGCTCTGTTGATGTATTTCATCGCAAAAGGTTTATATAGCGCTAATTTAAGGATCACGGTTGAACATGACTTTGTTGTACCTTGAACAAATAAACAGGAGATTAAAGAGCTAGAAGATTGCTTCAGTGTTCCTTTTTAATTTTCACTATTGTCATTTCTTGAATGTTTGCTTACCATCGGAAAGAATTATTTCAAGAAGTTCCTGACTCTTAGCTCCTTAGCTCTGTAGTTTTAACTTTTAGTTCTTGAACACCAGCTACCTTATATAACCGGTTCAACGCACATATCTCATTAGACGTTTTGGTGTGTATTATTACTGACTATTTTTACGAGTTGTGCTGTATTTTGACGAGACAAAATACAAACAACTCGTAAAGATACTCAGCGATACTACACACCAAATCGTCTAATGACTAATGAGTTATTTATTATCCAAAAATTTTTTGCTACGAACTCTTTCTGCTCATTTCTCATAAGGTGGGAAAAGCAAAGCGGATAGAGAAGCACGCGGCTGTTTCGCTTGCTTAAGCAAGGGCGCGCAGCCGACTAGTTAAACAGGTTTTTTTTTTACAGTACAAAATAATTAACTGTCCAAATAACCTGGCAGTATCGCAAGGATGTTTGCACTCTATTCGCGCGTTATTTGTACTCTACTTTGTGCAGTTGGATTATGAGAGTAAATAGAGATTATTTACAGCCTATTGCACAATACAAGTCTTAAGTAAAACCGGTGACAATCATAAATAATAACCACTTATGAGACAGGTAAACAAGATTAGGCTAAAAAAAAACAGCTTCCGTTAGTTAATCCTTCCGCTCATACAATATGGCGAATTCTTGCGCGGTCTGCAAAACTCATACCTTCGGTAAACATGTAACTTTTTATCGCATTTTTTTCCTAAACTGAACCAGACTTGGCACTGATTATTAAATTAAGGCCAGTCATTATAAAGAGTCTTGCGCCCTCGCCGTGTGTTTATAAACCATTTATCATTACTAAACATCGCTTCAAAGCATAAACCGGCTTCTTTGGTCTTTGGAATGCTTGTTTGCTATTTATTTAAACACATACACGGCGGAAAAAATTACGATTCACGCGAAATAAAACTGGGTTATTCATGGGGTAATTATTCTTCTAGACAATCACAAGACTTCACAGGAGGCAAGTAAATGCTTTCAATAACATCCAATTGTCACGTTGGTCTTAGAGCACGCAAGCTCAGCAGGACACAGAGAGTGCCCTACAAACTGTCTATTAGAAAGGCGACTGAATATTGTCCTGAAAAAAGCGTTTATCGCCTACGTTTAGTGCAGCTAAAAGGCGCAATCGATTGAGCATTTTGGAATGAGACAAATTCTGTGTAACTGGGGGAAAATGATCTGTTAGAACACCAGAGCGAATCGTCTTCCTTTCTTTAAACCCTTTTCGTTTCGATTGAATGCCATATACGATATAAGAACAGTATGCCATCCCACATTCGTAAAAGCAAGGGAAAGCTGTTTGCTCAGAGAAATTTTCCGATATGTAAATATTTTGAATCATGAATAACGACAGTTTTGTAAACCGCTAAGTATGTTTCTATTTGGATCACATCGAGATAAATTTCAATAAGGGGAAAAAAAAAGAACAAGATCCTGGTTTAAGTTGTTTGCCGTTTTCCAAAGCATATTTTATTCTAATGAAAATAATCCTACTTAGTCGCATCCTGATCCAATAATTGTAGACGAAATTAATCAATTTGTGACTATAAAAAAGCTATATCAGACATCAAACTCAAACTCCACAAAGATGCAGTATTCTACTAAAGAGAAAATCTTCATCTTTAGTATGCTGAAGAATCTAAAATCTTTCCTTGAGTTTAAAGATCATTTGTAAAATGTCTCTCCATCTAGTTCAAAAAGACGAAATACATGAAGAAAAACTGGCACTGACAGACTGAGAAAGCTTTATCGGAGTTCACGAAAGGGTTTAGGGATCAACATCAGTATCTGGGCAAGTGCCCAGCTACCCCTCCCCTAACTCAACAACAGTCAATTGATAACAAGTTAGGGTAAAAGTTGGATTAGGGGAGGGGTAGGTGGGCAGTTGCCCAGATACTGATATTGATCCGGGTTTAGTAAGCGAAAAAAAAAGCATTCGTCGCTTAATCAAATTTTCCATAGTTGCATTTCCTGATCCAATCAAGGCTACCAAGATGCATGATAAATTACCTTTTTTCCGTCTAAGGACGAAACTCATTTTAACAGGCTGTGACAGAGTAAGTTTGATCAGGAAGTATTAAATGCATTTAGCGCCTTTTTTAAATATAAGTTAATCGATCATTTTCAACAAGTTTCATACCAGGGGGCGTGGAGTGGGGTCATGGTACTCGGGCTGACTAGCGGGAGACTGAGAAATAGTTACTTACGGTTTCGGCTTCTCCAAACCAAACGCGAAAAATGTTTGTGCCTCGGATTTTGCATGCCCTTTAGACGAAAGACCCTCTTAAATTCCATCAGGCTATTTTTTTTTGAAACTCAAATTTAAAATGGAGCAGACACGTTTAGATCATTTTCTCATAAAATTGGCATAAATGGTTAATCGAGTTGATTTGAAACTCACAGTCATTCGACCCCTTCACCGATATGATACTGCTCATTATCAACAGCTCAAAGATCCACTGAAGTCTGACACTTTCATCTGGAAATTTAGAGAGGTAAGTTGGTGTTTGAATTTTGAGCCTTGGGCCGAGGTCGACCCTGGAACAAACACACCTTGCTTAAAATATGACACCTGATGAACGGAAATAATAATTGCTTCTCTAGGCTGATCGTAAAAATAGCTTTGACCTTCCGCTGGCGTGCACCTCGATTTCAATTTTTTTTTTTTACATGATCTTACACCTTGCACCTTTGCCTCAGTCTTGTTAGATTCCCATAATTTAGACGACTTTAATTCTAATTTCTAACTAAGTTCTTCCGGCTCCTCATGAGTCTAAAATTAAAGGAAAGGTTTCATGGTTTATCTCAAGTGAGAGAGGAGGCCACCGATTGAGAAATTCTCAGTTTTTTGAACGAAAAGTTGACTTTATAGACGTGAGAAGTTTTATCTTTTTTCTGCCGCTATCAGTAGATAGTCCATTGCGATAAAGTTATAGTCAAGAGTTATCTCAAGCGGTATCAAAATTATGATGGATTGCAATGCAAAACAGTGAAACTTACCAATGAGATTTCGACAGGCGAAACTTGTCCAAATTTGCCTCTTTTCTCGAAGATTACTTTCTCTCGTCTGAGAAAACGTTCAAACATTGAAAAGAATATGAATAGCAACATCTTCTCAACTCATTTCAAGGCAAAATTGCATATTGTCTTAGTCCGTAAGCGGCATTCAAAGCTTTACATTTATTACGCAATGCTGATGTTGTGTGGTGCAATAAATCCTCGGTAACCTTACTCCTGTGGTACACTCTTTATAAATAGGAATCTTTTCAACAAGAACGCTCAGGCTGAGATCAACCAAAATTTTCAGAAAATACTAAGAGCATACCTAAGCTGAGGATGAGTTGAGAACTTCTTGATTTTGCTCTTTTTTGTGTGTGAGAAGTTTGAATAAAGGTAAAAGAAATTTAAAACTGTGGTCTAAGAGCAGATACTTAATTGCCTTTTTTAACATTAACAAGAACCACTCAGTTAATATTGGATGAGTTAGTCTAGTCACGTCCGAATTGATTTATTGAAATACAATGCATCACGACTTTAAGAACACGTTCAGAAGGTTGTTAGGCTCAAATGGCAAAAGAAAATTAAAACGTTCAGCCTTGGCCCCAAAATTATACTTTCTTATATATAAAAAAAAAGCGTATAATAGGAAAGTTCAACGGAAAAATAAATCACAACAACGTCATTTAAAGTATTTAACTGCATTCAGAGGCGAGGGGGCTCAGTGGTGTAATTCAAAATTTTTTGTTGTCTGTTTGATTGTTTGTTTTACCACGCCCAGGAATTGCGACACAAATGCTCACGCTATCTGTCCAGTGGGCAACGATTGAATGATTACCATATTAATTTCTTTACATTTCTTGTTTCTTCTAAATTTAACGTGGTCATGACAGAACTACATCAGAGAACACATCAGGCTAAAGGGTGTGGCAGTTGTTAAGCGCTCTTTCTTTTGCCACCAAACTAAAATCCGCCGGTCGCTCAGTTCCTTAATTTTTTTGATAGAGTTGGAAAATGCTTTCAAAATGAAAGAAAAAGAACAAAATATAAGGGTGTGAAAAATTTTGTCTTTCAGCACTGCTCGGCGAGACACGCTTTTTCTTTAGCAATACCTCAAAATAACATTTCCATTTGGCTGTTGAAAATATAAAAAACATCAGGTCACCAGCATGACCTTTGTCTTGAGAGACAAAAGTCAGATTAACTGCTAAGAGATTAAAAAAAAGACACAATTCTTTCAAAAGGCACTGCCTTTCTATTTCTTTTTGGCAAAATTTTGATGGAAAAATATCTCTCCCAATGTGTCAGTTGAAAGAGAGAAATTCTAAAACGCGTGCTGGTCGAATCTCTTTGGGACATACACTGCACTCAGGCGGAGTGTGGGTACCCCACACAGTTTACGATATCACGGGATTTTGAGTTAATCATGCCGGGGTTGTGGTGTAAGCACTTGGAATTCGCTCCAAAATGTCGGCCGTGTCGTGTTGCCGTAGTTGGCGGCCCGAGATTGAATGCATATCGTAAGAACTTCGTAATCCGGATCGTGGGTGGGGCCGGTTAGCCAAAACTGTTTCCCATTTCCTCTTGGCCATATTTGGTGTTTTTAGACTGAAATCTATTTTTCTGTCAGCTTGTCTGTCCAATATCCAAGCAAGAGTCTTTAGCAGGCTAAGGCTATGTTAGTACTATGTAAAATTATCCATATTGGAAGGCGATTGTTTCAAAATCTCATCTAGTATTGAGTTACCGAAAAAATGCAGCCAACGATTTTCTTTGTGAACTGATTTCCCCGCTTAAAATAAACAAGCTCAAAGCTCATCGGGCAAAAAATGATACAAATTTCCACGTTAGATGATCTGCACATTGTAGCATTTATGTTTGTGTTTTGTTTTGTTCTGTTTTGTTTTGTTTT